GAACCGGGCCTCGGTAAGCGGTTCCCTGAACTTGGCGCCCAGGGGGAACTTAAGGTCGGAGGTCTCTCCCGGACCTGGGCAGGTCCTGGCGCCCAGGAGCCCACTCATTGTGCTCTCGGCCACCTCCAACTCCGCCCAGTCTTAAATAGCCCTCCGCGCGCTGGCCCCGAGTCCCGCCTCCCAGAAGCAGGGTCCAATCCTGTCCTGGAGGGCGCCCTCTCTTGGGGACCTTCTGCAGTCAGGAGACAGCTGCATCTTGGGGAGGGGATGTCTCTTATGTTAGGCGTTTCCTCAGACATCCTTGGCAGGACCGCTTGCTCTGGAGCCTGTGGGGGATGGCTGTGAAAAGGTGTAGGAGCCAGAGAAATAGGCCAGAAGACAAGCGCACCCCGACACCCACTGTTTGCCACTCCTGTCTTTTGAATCCCACCTCCTCACTCCCAGTTCCTTTCCACATCTGCACTTTGGGGAGAGACTCCTCTAGGGTTACTGGTCACTCTGAGGGCTGCTGCATTGGCCTCAGCAGTTTCACAAACTACCTAGATGGGAAGCAGCTCCACATATTGGCTAGGGATGGACAGAGAACCACCAACCCACACTTCTGCTGGGAGTGGCTGGGTCTAAATCCCCAGTTCAGGGCCTCAGGGGGAATACTGAACAGATAGGGAATTTTATTTCTCAGAAGCAAAAACCAGTGCACCACTATTTATTACATTCCAGTGCTATTCACATTGTAGGCACTCAATAACACTTGGTGGTCAAATTAAGTACAAAAGGTCACCCACCTATCTCATGTACCCCTGTGGTCCCTAAAGAGATACAAAGGTTCTGAGCTCCAAATCCTATTTTCCTCATCCCCTCCTCCATTCGCAAGAATCCTTAGCACCCCTCCCAATCACCCTCCAGTCCCAGTCCCTGACCCCAAAGCTCTGGGGGTGGGGTACATTGAGGGTGGATCTCCCCTCTTCAATTCCTCCTATTGTTCCCCAGAAGTCTTATCTGGGCTGTACGTCCTGTCCCCCCCTTAGAGGTCCCTCCCCTCATTGTGGCCAGAGAGACCTCAGGCCCACAGGGAGGCTCCAGCTCCTCCTTGTCCCCCCACCCCAGCAGTCTATTGTCTGCTGAGGAAGCTCAAGTACACGTGACTGGGCCCAGGGGACGAATGGACACAGTGGACACACCGATGCCCAAGGACCCAGGACAGGGCATCTGGACATGCATCTCTGCACGTTTGGCTCTCTCTGTCCCTGGGAGGGGTGAAGACCCCTCTGGGCTCTCCACTCTTGGGTCTGTGGCTTGAAGAAGAATCCCTTCCTGCTCAGTATGGATATGCCCTACAACCTCCCAGACAGCAAAAATAAGGAGACCCAGAGCCAGAAGGAGCCATAGCGCCCAGCATCCTCTCCACCTCCCCGAGTTCCCTCAGCTGGACATGGAAGCCTCAGAAGGAAAGGTACATTGAGCTCTTGGTCCTTCAGAATCTGGGTGTCGGGGGGAATGGCGGGAGGTCACCCCAGAGTGGGCTTTCCAGTGGGTCTAGAATGGAGGCTAGATGGGAGGGAAAGAAGGGCTGGGCAAAGGGGAGGATATATCAGGGTTCTAGGGCTTCCCAGTGGCCCCAAGCTCCAGGACTGGACTGAGATGCTGCAACTGCAGGTAAGCGACAAAGATGACAACATCTTTTGTCTTACATACTGAGCCCTTCTCCTATCACAAGACCCCTCCTCAGACAATTGATTTGTGGGGCCAGCTGATCTCTTCCACACCCCTTCTCCCAGCTCAGCCCTACCTCTGCCTCCCCTGCCCTCTGCCAAGACAGCAGCCTTGGTGATATGACAAAACCTTTATTCTCAGAAAACAGAAAAAACAAAATCAAAAACAAAACCAATAATTTCTATCTGGCCCTTGCCCCAGCCCTCCCACCCACCCACATATGTTCCTGTGATGGGGACCTGTGATGCATGCAAAGGGGTGGGAACTGAAGGAACCTATGTTCCTTGGGCAGAAAGAAGTCCTTTTAAGTCTAGGTACCCTCCTCCCAGTTGACACCACTCCCAGCCTTGCCCACCCTCCAGACACACCAAGAGGGAGGAATTCTGGGGCCATGCCAGAAGGGTTGCCCTTAAGTTCCTGGGGAAGCAGGGTGGCTCAGTCAGCACCACCCCTATGGCCTTTCCCAGTTACAGCTCATCTTCATCCAGCTTGGCAAGTCTGGCTTGGCAGGGAGAGGTGTTTGGAATTGGTGGCACTGGAGGAGAGTCCTGAGGAGCCTGAGGGATGTCACTGAGGGCCTGAAGAAAGACTCAAGTCAGAGGATCAAAAAAGTTCAGGAATCCACCCTCACTCCTCTCTTGTCAGTATAAGCCCCTTGCCAAGCCCCTCTTGTCAGACATCTTAGATTATCTGAGACCATCAGCTTCTCCTAGCATTAAACTGGAGTTCAGGAGGGCAAGAGATAGGAAGGAGGAAGGGGCAGACAAAAGGAAGGTGGTGGAAGAAGGAACGATATGGGGGAAAGAGGTCTGGGGATCCCAGAACAAGAGAGGCCCTCCTCGTTCTGCCCCTACAACCTGCGAACTCCATTCCTCATACCTGTGTGTCCAGGGGCAGGGGGGCTCTGGCCACTTCCCCTTTGGGCAACATCAGCAGAGAGGGGAGAGAGCCATTGATGGGTGTGCGTGTGCTGACCTGGGCCCGGTCTCCAGGCCGAATTCTCCCAGGGCTCCCCACCCAAGGGCCTCCTGGCCGCCCCAGGCTGTTGGTCTGGCTCTCCCGTCTCTGGTACTCAATAGGTGACTGCAATGCTGGGCGAAGAGAGGAACAGAAGGAGGATTACAACAGACACATCCCTTCCCAGGGGCTCTGCTCAGGCCATCCTCCCTCTCTGCTCTCCCTCCCGAGGACTGTCAGCCAACATAAGTTGCTTGGGGCTTTAGGGGGTTCTGAGTTACTAAATCTTGAGCAAGTAGTAGAAAAGTGGGGATGAGGGACAAAGAGATGCTGGGGGCAGGGGGCAGGGATTTTTGGAGATCGGGCAGTGAGGGATTCAGGAGATCAAAGGGCTGAGGGAGTATGTTGGGGAGGAAGGGCAAGAATTTCACCGTTGAGAAAGTCCCGCTGGCTTTCCAGGATCTGAGCCACTTGCTTGATCCAGGCCTGACTGACCGCAGGGTCTGCAGTCTGCAGGATATAGCGCTGGATCCCACCCTCTGGCCCTCTGGAGGTCAGTGCAAAGCGGCAAGGGTCACCTTGGAGGTTCCCCTCCAGTCCCAGGCAGCTCACCTGGATTGGCAAATAGGAGGTAGCCCCCAGATTCTTCAGGCCCTCTCTGGCTCATCCCCCGTCCAACAAATCCAAGAGCCAGACATTGTCTCAGAGGCCTCCCCACTCCCAGTCAGACCCCACCCTCGGGGCCCCCTCCCCACCTTGATGCTGCTTTTGTACACATATCCAGGCTGCGTTCCACCTCGCGCTCCTCCTCCCAGGGCCTCACTGAAGATGACGATTTGCTCAAAGAGGAAGACGCGCCTCTCTCGACCCCGGGAAGAGAGCAGACCCCCAGCCTCGGGTTCCGTGACCCAGAATGTGTCCTGGCCCAAGAGCTTCCCTTGAGCAGTCAGTTTGCCCTAAAATCAAAGGAGAGTGGCCTTTGAGGAAAACAAGAAGAGAAAGGGGGCAACTCTCTGCTCTTCCCTCCTTCCCCTGACACTTCCAACCAACCATGGGGTCAGCCCCAGAAGAGGACAGCTCCCCATCAGAACCACCTGAGTGCTCAGCTTGGGCCAGAAAAGCCTTGCTCCTTCCCTGTACCTCAAACCCCCGCAGTCTCCCCAGGGTCATCATGTCATTGCAGCGCTTGGGTACGAAGCACATGACCTCCACGGCTTGCTGGGACACAGGTAAAGAGAGGATCATTGTCATTGTTGGGAAAGAGACCCCTTCGGACCATGTTTCGACCCCCAACCAGCCTCCCCCTAAAAACCAGACAGCTCCACACCACCCAAGGAGCGGGCAGAACCCAGCAGACTAAGCAGATAAAGTGTGCATGGTGTGTTTATGAGACCTGGGGGTCCTCACCTCTAGCTCTTCAGTATCCATCCCAGCTCTGCTATAATACTTGAGAAAATCCTATGACATAGAAAAGAAATGCTCAGGGGGGTCACGAGGACATCCTCAAAAGCTCTCACACCCTCCCCTGGGAACACAGGTGAGGACCCCCAGGAAGTCTTGGGGGTAGCCTTAGGAACCCTGGGGAGGTGAGGGAGGAAATGGCCATCCCCGCCAGCTGTGCCCCCAGGGAACAGGTGGTCCTGACCTTGAGCAGCAGCTGGTACTTCATGATCCTCTGCACTGGCTTGATGAGGAGGTCATTGAGCTGCAGGCGGTGCCCCAGCTGCTGCCGGAGCTCCTGGGGATAGGGACAGACAGGGTGGCTTTGCAGCTTGGGAAGCCTGTTCATGCTGATGATTCTGTTCCCCTTCCCCCAACGTGTCTCAGCCACTGACCTCAAAGTAGCTGTCCCCAAATTCTGACACCACATGCTCTGACTTGGGCTTATTCTGACAGTACACCACGTACATATGCAGCCGGCGCTCCTACGGGAGTAAAATTTAAGAAAGAGTAGATGTGTGAGGAGAGAGGGCACTTCTTTAGGGCTCCGTGACCCACTCAAAAGCCCCTCCCTTCCTGGGTCCCACTCTCTCTAGCCTCACATGTTTGATGAATAGCTGAGCCAGCCAATCAGGGTCCTTCAAACACTGCTGTAACTCCTGCAGGAAATAGCTGGAGAGGTGGGGCAGGGTGGGGGGAAGGCAGGTCAATTACCCCCACCCCAAACAATTCAGAGCTGTCTGCCCTAGTAGTGCTCCCTGCGAAGCCTTCCCAAACATTCCTCAGGCAGCAGGGGACCCATGGGTAGGATACAGAGACCACCAGACGTGCGCCCCTCCCCCTCACTCTCAGGGTCCACCACTCACTCTCGATGCCACTCGTAGATTTGCTGGATGTTCCCAAACACAATCCTGTCACGGCCCCGAAGGCTCTCGGGGACCCCCTGAGCAGCCATGGTGGCCATGTAACCCTGTGGAAAGTTTGAGTGGGAGCACAGGTGTGTGGGTTCAGCCCTGGTGGGAAACCCTCCTCCCCAAGAAGTCCAGGATGTAGGGGAGACTGGGAAGGTGGGACAGCGGAGCACCAAGGCATCTCCTAAAATCAGGTCTGGGAGAGGGAAAGGGAGCTACCTCCACAATCTGCCCCAAGTCGTCCACGTACATTTTCTCTGTCTCTACCAGCTCACTCAGGACATACCTGGGGTGAGAACAACTGCTTGAGCCACTTCCTCCCTCCTGGACTAGAAGCCCCTTCATTACCACAGACAACCTTAGAGGACATTCCAAGTCTCAAATCTAAAATGTGAAGAACAATCCTCTGGAAGTGGTGTGATTAGGGGAGTCGGGGAGGGAAAGTGTGGGTACACTTACATACTCCTTTCCAGAGCCTTCTTCTTCTGTTCTTCCTCACTCTCAGGAGCTTGGGACAAAGTCTCCTCTTCAGGTGGCTGGAAGGAAGAACATCCTAGAGTAAGCAGATGGATGCCTCTGGGTGAGGGGAGCCACCCTAGACTCATTTCTTCATACCTGCGTCTTATCCCCAGGGCCCCCCAACAATGTGGTCAGCAAGGTCAGTTCTGGCAGCTCCTCTCCTGCAGCTAGAGCTGGTTCCAGCATCCAGTTCTGGGGACCAGAAGTGAAGTCTCAAAGATCAGGGACAGTAGCAGGATCTCCCCAATGACAGGGGCCCCCAACCTGCCCTCTCTCCCAGTGTCCTTCATAGATGTCCTTCATGCTTCTGTGGTGCTCCCTGCTCACCTCATACAGTCCAGCCCGGCCGCGGTCCGCCTCAGTTTCCACACTGAAACAATGTTTGGAATGATCCAACCATCTTCTCAGGCCACTGACTGGCCCTGGGGGGCCCGGGGAACAGGGGCCAGAGCTGAGGCCAGAGCTGGGGCCAGAGGGGGCAGCCAGACCCGAGGCAGCTGAAGCCGAGATGCTCCCCTCACTGCCAGCAATGGAATAGGATTCTAGTGTGGGAGTGAGGGAGAAAGGGGGTGATAGATATTGCTTCAGCTCCAGATTCAGGGTCCCTGGGGAGCTCCCCAAGTCTCTACTCTGTGATGCTCAGCCCCACTCCAAGGCTCACTCTCTTGCCATTCTCATTTGAGTTGGCCAGGAGAGAAAATTTCACCAGGGCACCCTTGGGAGGAAGGACAGTAAACACCTGGCTCCCCAGGCCTGGAACCCCCAGTTACATGTGGAGGTTCCCCCATACCCTGAGCATGGCACCAACATGGGGGTGGGGGTAGCCATCTGGGCAGACACTGGAAGCTGGGGGTGGCCATCTGCTCTCCTACAACCCTCCCCTTTCCAGTGGGTACAGACCATTCTCTGAGAATGGGGGGAGAGCAAGAGCTAAGAGCCCATCTGCCACCCCCAGACCCTTCCTCCACCCATTGCAGTAATCACTATAAAAAGAAAAGATTTCTGCAGCCCACCTCCCCAACACATGCAAAAATCCAACACGGGGCAAATGAGGAGAGCTCATCAGGGCTGTCCTTGGCCTGGACTCAGAGACAGCAGATGCAATCTGTGATAAGGCCCCTGGTAGACCCCCTCGTTCCTCATTCCTCCTTCCCCCTGTCCCTCTGCAGATCTGAAGTAGATGCTCAGCAAAAGGATTTGAGGGAAGATGTGGTTGTAGGCCTACAGGGATTGTGGGTGGGTTTTTCTCATACCCAGTTGACTATGGGGAAGAGGAGTCCCCTGCCCCTTCCCCAATTTCCTTAACTTGAACTGATAGACGTGGAGGCAGAATGGATTTTAGAGATCATCTATTAAGTCACTTTCCTGGAAAACACAAGTATAGTCGCCAGCCTCTAAATCCCTAGGGCCAGGGCAAACAGACGTCCTGAACCATCAGCCCGCCCCCCACTCAACACTGGGCCCTCGCAACCTCGCACTCACCACGTCCCCCCCGGGCGAAGCAGCAGCCGCATTTTGCCAGCACTTTTCGGATCACATGGGGACAGGCACAGCGACT